AATGAAAAAAAGATTTTACAAAAAGCAAAATCTAAAATCTATATACCCTTGCCAAAAAAACTATAAAACAAGGAAGCACAAAGTTTGGTTTTGGGGAACAATTGTAATTGGATCTCATCTAAGCCAAAGAAGCATTATTAGATTACGGAAGTGTTTTCTGTGTCTTCTTGCTGAAATGGTATTTGATCACCTCACGATCATGTTTATAGTTATTAAATTAAATATAAGAAAACTAATTAAATAATCTTCTAGATAGCTTATTTTGTTTTGTAAGAACATCAGATATAAGCCAAATTGATAATCTCTTGTGTAATATGTAACTAACATGTTATGTACCAAAATATGAAAAATAAGTTTTTCTCATTTATTTTGATCATGAATTAAGAACAAATGAGAAATCACTTTTCATTTTCAGTATAGATATTCCAATATATATACTTACAAATGGATTTGGATATAATCTGTGACTGACTGTGATTAATTAAGAGACCAATCTACATTTTTCTCTTATCATTGTAACTTGGTTCTGCCTCTCGTTGTAAGCTAGAAGCAATAAACACTCGACTTTGTGATGGTACTTAGGGTTTATAATATTCCAGACAACTCGAAAGTCCGAAATGAGGCTCATTCGTAGTATTAGAGGCAATCCAGCTCTCGATTGAAGCATATCCTCCATCTCTCTTCCCGCCCCATACATCGCCCGGTTCTTTGTTCCTATGTCTAGCTGAAACGTTCTTGACTCATGGCTCGACGCATATAGTTTAGTTCCCTAATTTGAAGAAATAATTCATGTAATACATATAGCTTAAGTTGATATTGAATATATTAAATACACTTCTTAGTCTATACATAAAGGCTTACTTGTGCCTTTGCAAAGTTGAGGGGGCCAAAGAATAATTTGATAGATGGAGGGTGAATGTGAAGGCCGAAGACATTAGACTTGTTATCTACTATGAGCTTGGTAGAGCAATTGCAAGTGAGGAACTTAGTCAACGCTCCATGTGAATCCACCCCTTCTTCTAATATGAACTGATTAAACCTCCCAATCTATCAAATGACATACTGATTAGGTAGTATACAAATCAAGGCTCTATTGTCTTCAAAGGTAGAGTATACAAATCAAGGCTCTATTGTCTTCAAAGGGATTTATGAGAAATCACGTAAAACACTTTAGTTCATAACTAAACAAAAAAATAGGAGAAGATCGGAAGATGCATATTACTCGAAAAGAGATGTTAGGATGAGGAGGCTGAGTAGCAATGTAGAAGACAAGCAATGCCACTCCAAAGCTAACCAAAAATCTCCAACCTATCTGCAAAACGATCCACCAACCCGAGTTCGAGGTCTGCGATGGCGTCAACATCTTCTTATCATCCTCATACAAAATGTTGTTTTCGGAGTTCTTCAAGAAATCTGAGTACATTGGAAATTCATTGACGCTTGATAGGACCAATGGCGCTGAGTCGGATCGAGTCGGGGATTGGAATTCGTATTCCGGGTGGAAAACCGTTGAAGGGCTTTGGACGAAGTAGTTTGAGTAGTGTTCATCACTTCTCTCCATTAATAAACTAA